CACACACACACACACACACACACACACACACACACACACAGTGGTATCCAACCCCCAATATATCGAGTGCTTTCTGGTCTATTTGACTCTAAATTGACTAAATGAACATCAGCCTTGTTGAAGAAGACTAGAGACTGAGACATGAACTCCTGAGGACAAAGTTTACTGACGTTATAAAGTGAGAAGTACAGTTGTGTTCTCAGAGACTTCTATAGAAACAACCAGTGGAGTCGCCCCCTGCTGGTCATTAGAGAGAATACAGTTTTCAGGCACTTATCAGACCCAGAGTTAACGTCCACTTAAATTCACAGTCTATGCTTGAACAGCAGGTGCTGACCTTTAACCCCATCAAAGCGCAACCCTTACGGAAGAATCCCTTCGGCCAATCGGGAGCCAGCTCAATGGACCTCTGAGCGTCCTTTAGGGCCGAGGAGTACTGCTCCAGACACAAGTAACAGTAAGAGCGATTTCCGTAGAACCTGAGAGATGAAAGAAAGACACGTTGAGACTCAAACTCTGAGTTAGTCTTTCTCGAAAGTGAAACTGATGAGGAGACGTCCTGGTTACTAAAGTTTAGTTCACAGCTCACCTGTGGTCCTTAGGGTCACAGTAGATGGCTTCTGAAAACATGTGTACTGCCTGGCTGTACTGGCCTCGCCCAAACATCTGAATGCCTTGTTCTGGATAGTGTGTACGCACGCGCACCCGCACCCGCACACACACACACACACACACACACACACACACACACACACACACACACTTCTTTTATTAAACTGTATCTGATAATAAAGCTGCATTGACTTGCATACGAACACTCGCGATGTGGAAACAAGGCAATAGAATGAATCACCACAGAGGGCGCTGTTGCTCATTAAAAGTTACATAGGTGGATTCACCTGTCAGAGACTCTCCCCTCCTCTTCATTTCTTCTGTGTTCTCCCCCTGCAGTCAGATCAGTTACAGTGCTACAGTGATCACAATGCTGTTTTCATTGGTTTCTACATCTTCAGTGAAAAGCTGTTTCCAGTGCTTGATAATCTACAAGATATTTGGGGGGGGTTGTCCCGTGTGTTCGTACCTGGCTGCTCCTGGCCTCGTTCTCCTTGTTCTCTCTGGTGATCTGTAGCCCTCTGCTCTTCAGGCCTTTGAGCTTGATGTGGCTGGCGGCGTTAGCCACAAATGCACTGCTGACGTCCCACTCTGGCTCCTGCAACAGCAACAAGTAACACAAGGAACTCAATACAGCAGACTCAAAATGTGAAAAACAGGCCTGTGGCCTGAACTATGAAGGAACCCAGGATATGTTTTCTTTACATGGATGAAAATCACATTTTATCACAGATTAATTCAATAACATTTTTTTCTATTTTGAATGAATGGGTGAAATAATAAGCCAGCCTGGCTACAACCCATCTCCTCTGACGTCCTGTGGGGCAACTTGCAGTTGTTTTTGTTCTCTGTAGTCATGAGGCCTGGGACTGTTTCAGGGTTGCACTTGTTTGAGGGACGAACCGCGGTCCATGACTCCTCCTCTTTGTATTCCTCCTCACTGTTGCTCTCCGTCACAGCTCCTCCTGACGCTTCTTCCTGTTACATGTTGAAAGCATAATTATAATCAAAGCAATTCCACGACAGGCCCTTTTTCAGACTGTGCCTGAAACGTTACCTCCCTGGCAACTTTTGGGACGGATGTAAAAGCTTCAATAACACAAGATAAGAAGACAGAAGTCATTTAGGCGTGTGAGGTCTCACCTGCTCCAAAGCATCTTCCATCCTCTCCTCTCTCTCCAGTTTCTTCCGCTCTTTCTGCCTCTGAAAGGAGAACATGGACACGGTGGCTGTGGGATGGAACACAGACACGGATGGACACGGGTGTGGAAGCAGTCGTGCGGTTGGGTGTGGCATGAACAGTGATGAAGAGAGGGTGGTATAAGGTGTAAAGACGGGTGCGGTGATGTGTGGAATGTGGTTCAGTTAGCAGATGAAATAAAACAGCAGCTGCACAACATGTGGACAACACAGATCTACAATTACAGTTTTGTGTCATTTAGTTGTTCTGACAACAATTTGAATGTTTTGATAGTTTTCGTAGTTCTGTATATTAAACTTTTGCCTCAGCAGAAATTTCTTTTACTGAAAACTGCTTTTTTTTTCCTTTTTGTGGTTTATTTTGTTGAGTTGTTTAAAAAATAGAAGAAACGCTCCTCTTCCTGCAGGAGCCTGATGGTCGTCAGGTAGATTCCCCTCACCTGGTCCGGCTGCACTTTATAAGCTGGTGGCAGCCAGAGTCCCTCTCTTCACTCTTCCACAGTGTTTGGTTTGAGCTTTCATTTAAATGTACATTTTAATTCTTCAAAATAAACCAATTTTAAGTTCAAACTCATGTGTGGTCTTTCTTACTTTGTCCAGCCTTGAGCCAGGTTGTGACAAGTCGTCCTCCAATTTTTTTTTTTGTATCTATCAACTACTTGCTGTCCTTGAATTATAATTTATTATTTTTGGCAGATTCCAAACCTGAGTTTTGTTTTCATGTCCAGTCATGCAGGTTTCTTTTTACTCACTTTCCTCTTTGCTCTCCTCCTTTCCGCTCTCCTCTTTGCCCTTTCCTTCTCATCCAGACCCTCCTCATTTTTCACTGTGACCTGTTTCAAGACACAGCAACATGCATGCAACAATAATTCAGGTCACAACAGCCACATCTTCTTGAATCTGTGCTTGAAATTATTAAACATCAGAATTTGTTGCTGGAGTTTAGGAGCGCAGCAATAATCATGAGAGAGAGAAACTAGCCCTTGAGATAAAAATCTTATGAGGAAATATTAGTTTGTATGTCTGAAGAAAAGTTGGCACCTTTTGAATGGATCTCTATCATAACGCCCAGTGGTCATTAGTGATACTGCATCTCAAGGTGAATTATGAGGCTATGAGATAAGAAAAATGTGCCTGCAGGTGAGAAAACTGCACATTTTTACACACACATGGTCTGTATAATATTCATATAACTGAGTACACAATGAGTTTATACATAATTTACCTCTGAGCTTTGGCCTTTTCTTCCGTCTGCTGGGTCAGAAGCACCATCCTGAGCCTCCAGCTCCTCCTCACCTGGCCCATCTGAACACACACACGCACACATGCACGCACACAGACGCACACAGACGCACACAGACGCACACACTCATGAAGGGATGAGACATGAGGCCTGAAAGAGTAAGATATTCTGGCAGTACGTTAAACGCAGCTCTTTAAAGACTGTTTGTTTCGTGTGTGTGTTTCCCATGCAAACTGGACAGGTGATCTTGTGGCAGCTTGTGGATGATGCAAACATCTCGTTCTGAGGTTCCTGCTTCTGTTTCTGAGTAGTACAAATATTCCACTTTATGGGCAGCGATTTAGCCAAACCACAAATATTCAACTAAAAGCCCACTCAGTCAAATAATGGGCATTAGACAAATAATGACAGGGATGTGGTCTGTTTAGGGGCATGAAGCATATTCAGCACTTTGAAGGCTGATCAATGTGAGTGATGTTTCTGTGTCTCACTCACCAGCATGAGCAGCTGTTTCTTAAAGAGTGACAATAAATGTCCCACAATGCACCACTGCAATAAACATGAATAATGTAGGTGGAGGCAGCTCTATAAACTCTAAAGAGTCATACATGTGATGCTAGTTCCGTCTTCATTTGATTAAACTGAAAAACATGCAAATGATAAATAAGTTCCACCTGAAGTCACATACATCTGTTAGGAGAACACACGAGATGTGAATCAAGCCGTCAATATGGATTTTAATGCCCGATACTAGGGTATTAAAAAAGGGTTTGATACCAATAAATCTGCCAATATACATATTCAAATGAACCCTCATGACAAAGAAATGTAATTGAGTTTTGATATTTTACAGTTTAACTGTACACTTTATTATAAACAACTATTAGTAAAAAGAAAAAAACAAATACAACTTGAATTAAGAAAATAAACTTTGTTTTAATAATGTAAATATAATGCACATATGTTCTGCAATTTCACAAGCCAACCAATTCAGCTACTTTCGGCTATTTAGAGTGACGAGCAGTCACAGGAATGAGAGATGAGAAGTTTTTGCAGAGAGTAAACTGTACGGTCGTGGGCCAACATTCTTTTCGACCTCAAACACACGATGTTGACAGATGAAATGGGAGGGGAGAAAACTCTGCCCAGGAATAGACCGTCCGTTCAGAAGCTTTTGGAATTTGCAGAAACTGAATCTGTTTGGCATTAGGAGACACAACACCACCTGATTCACAGCAAGACTCGAGGCAGGTGAGGAGGAGGGAGAACCGGAGAGGGCAGGAGGGAGGATGTTTGTGAGGCTACAACAAGCGTCCTCATTCATCCATATATGGCAAATTACAGGTTTTCTGAACATTAGAGGATATAAACCTTTTCAAGTAATAACCCAAATCAAAATGATAAACCTGGATACGAGCAGAATATGTCACATTTAAATTAAATGTCATATTAACCTTCAAAGAACTAGAACTCCCACCCAGTCAAATGAGGTCACTGTGACCTTTGACCTATGACCACTCACATCTAATTAATTCATTTCCTAGTCCAAGTGACAACTCAAAAACACCCTTTCACAGAAACATTCATAAAAATGTATTTTTGGTCAGATTTGACTTTGAATTTCTTCTATCAGCTTTTCAGAGCTATGTTATTAGCTATGCTATATGTTATTTTCACTGTCGGTCACCTTTGAAACTTTTGTGAGAAAACGATATATTAATCATCTAATTATTTGGCACATAAAGAATTCTGTGTATAAGTTATAAGGTGCTGCATTGTAAGTAAATTACACACGAATATTGAATTTTCTGTTTTCCCAGAACTTCTCCTCATCTTTTATTCTGCATGTACTGTAAACAAAAAGAATAAAACTGGAAACAATAATGAGAGGGAGGTGTGTTAACATGGGAGTGTGTTCTGAAACAGTCAGAGCCGCTCGTTCTGGCAGCCTTGAACAACAACTCATTTCACCAGAGGTGGTTTTCATTTCAAACAGAAACACATGCTTTATAACACGCAGCTCATTCTTGATTATTTTTCCCCCTCAACATTTTTGCAGCTGAAACAAAACAGCAGATATGAAGCTTTTCTAAATTGTCATTTGAAAAACAAAATATTACCTTCTATTAAATCACAGTACATCACAATACTAAAGAAAACTGCAGGTCCCTTGACATAATGCAGATTATGTATGACCTCACATGCACGTACTGTTCTTCAGCCGGTGGAAAACTGGCAAGTATTTGTGTATTTTTTGTTGTCTTTTACAGTTTCCATGGTTTTAATCTGCTGAGTAAATATTACAAACCTGAACTGAATGAAAACATGGTCATCGTGGACGTATCTGTTCATCATATGGAAGCAGCGACATAAGAATCAAATCTGGCAACAGATTAAAACCCAAAAGTTTTGGATCCTTATTTATTATTGTGGTGAATTCTGTTGATAGCTGTGGGATGTCTATTACAATCTAAACAATATGGGGTTGTAATCGTGATCAGAAATACTGCGGTTCACAGATTGGTTTGGAGAGCTACGTGTTTAAATGTGTTCACTCTAAGGAATCATGATAAGTTAAACTTTTAAACTTTGAGTATAGGTCTTTGAATTAAGAGTATTTTTCTTATCATTCACAAAGTCAATTCTAGATCCGGCCCCAGTGGGTACTGATGTGAATTGTCCTACAGCCAATGTAGACTTACACAGACGAGTTAGTTTGGTCCATGTTTCATGTTCATACACCGTCACTGTCCGAACGCTGTTTGACCCAACGTCTTGAAGGTTTCAAGAGAAAACCTGAGAGAAACAACTTGTCGGGACAAAGTGAAGAGAACCACTGGACTGAAATTGTAAATCTGCATCCACACCAAAGCCTTCTCCCCTGTGTCACGCCCCACCCCTCCACAAAACGGTTTTTGTAGCTTTTTCGTAATCCTTCTGACGATCAATAAACCACCAAACAAATGGACAGGGGTGAAACATCAGGGTAACTGTATGAACTCTCGAATGATTTCTGGTTTGTCCTAAAAATGTCTACGTACAAAGCACAGAAAAAAAACACAAGTTCATTTGTTATATAAATGGCGGCAACAACAACATTCAAAGTGTTTCCATCCCTCGCCCCGTCTGTCTCTCATTAGCTAAATAACTTCAAGGACAAGAAATCTCAAGGCTGACGAGTGACCGTGGTGAACTGTATCATCCACCCTTTGGCCACACACACAGACACACAGAGACACGGCACAACCAGCACACAGAGAGAAACAAAAACCAACACGTGAAAGTAGAAGGTCTGAACTGCACACTGACAGAAAAACAAAACGATGACTGATGTTTACAAAGACGCAGATTTACACCTGTGCTTCTCATAGACTGTAAAATAATCCCCCTTCCATGTTAGTGGATGGGACATGGACCAAACTAAAAAGAAAATGTAGGCTTAAAATACATTTGTCACGATTGGTCGGCAGGACCTCGATACCGCGGCTCCATGTGCAAGAGGGCGGCGTTCGTATCTGGGATTTTTTTGGCTTCGTTTCAAGGAAGTGAACGTGTGTCATCCATCTTTATTTACACGTTTCTGATTTGAGTTTTAAAGGATGAAAGATTTGTTCCTTTGCTGCATTTTTCCAGATGTGAGTAAATATAACCTTGACTCAACATCTGTTTCTACAGCTTAT